TGGAGATGAGGAGAGGGTTCTTCACTGTGAGGGTGGTGGAGCACTGGAACAGGTTGCCCAGGGAGGTGGTTGAGGCCCCATCCCTGGAGATATTCAAGGAGAGGCTCGACGAGGCCCTGGGCAACCTGGTCTAGTTGGGGGTGTCCCTGCTGACTGCGGGGGGGTGGGACTAGATGGCCTTTGGAGGTCCCTTCCGGCCTGGGCAATTCTATGATTCTATGAAGATGCCTCCGGAGCCCCAGACAAAGGTGTGGGACATGGGAGAAAGGTCAAACAGATCCTGGTTGCCCACTCGGATCCCCCCACCGATGCCCCAAAAGCCGGCAGCTCACAGTGCAGGGAGGACGTTGGCAGCACAACCCCCCCATCCCTGAGCGTCCCCTCCCCAAATCCTCCCCCCAAAAAGCTCAGCTCAGGAGGGCAGCGAGTGGCCCCTCCAGCATCCAGGAGCCCCCGGCTGAGCCTGGATCTTGCTTTTGACAGGTAAATGACCCGGCGCTGCGACCCGCGGGGCTTTACTGCAACCAGCTTTCCTCCACTGACCTTTTGAAAACAGAAGCAGATGGGGCGCAGGTCAGTAAGAAACTGCTAAACACATCTCAGGTACCCCCCTCCGAGGAAGTTTTGGATGGGTTTCCCCTCCCCCCTCCCCAGTTCCTGGCCGTACCTGCTTGGTTTCCAGTGGGACGGGCTGGAAGCCACCGTGGTCCCACCAGCGTTGGGTGATGGCCAACCCTTGGGGGACGTCAACGTCGCTCCTGGCGTCAAAGCTTGTGCCAACTGCCCTGAGCATTTTCACCTCCGTGGAAGAGCATCAACGCCGGGGCCGAGCTGGAAAAATAAAGCAGTGTTGGTGCTCAACGCCCCTCACCCCGGCTCTGGGCTGCGGGTGAGCGGGGAGGGTTTCTTTCCTAGGCTTGGCTGCTAAAACGCTGTTAAAACGTGGCGGAACGAGGAAATTTGGATGGGGGAGACCATGGGGATGGTGTCCATCTGTCCATCCGTCCCTCTGAGCAGCACCAAGGCCTTGCCCAGCTCTGGCTCCTGGGGGATGATGTGGTTCTTCGTCCCCGTCTCATCACCCGGCGGCGGCGGCGCCTCCCCCTTCCCCGTAGCGCAGCCGTGCTTTCCGTAGGGACGCGCCGAGACGCACCAAAACCTCTTAAATTTTCATCAAACAGCCGCGCTGGACCTCGCTCAGCACCCCACCACCACCACCACCACCACCACCACCACCACGCCTTCACCCAGGCTAAGGGGGGCTTTAGTTTTTTTATCGATTTTTTCCCCCCTTCCTTCAAAAAAAAATCATTTTTTTCCCCCCATTTTTGGTTTTTTTTTAATTATTATTATTTTTTGGGATGAGCAACGTTCCGAACCTCGCCGAGCCGACTGAGTTGCAGCGGTTTTCTTTTTATAGGACAAGAAGACAGAAGAGTTCTTCTCTGGGGTGGCTCCAGACTAGAGGAAGTCTCTAGTGAGTTTCCACTTCACGTAGTAGTTCCCAGCTCCGCCGCCGGCCCCTGCCCCGGCCCCGCTAAATCCCCCTCTTGTCTTTTGTGTCCCAGCAGGTACAACAGGTTCAGGTCTTTGCCGACGTACAGTGTACAGTGAATTTGGTAGGAGATCCCTACCTCAACCCAACGGCTCCTTTGGGCACCCCGAAAAACGCCGCCGGGCCACCGCCGCCGCCGCCGCCGGGCCAGCAGAAGAGCCTTCTTCAGCAGCTACTGACTGAATAAAATCGCCTTGCGAGGAATGTGAAATTTAAATAAGAAGACGTACAGAGATATATAAATATATATATTATATATTTTTCTGAGATTTTTGATATCTCAACCCGCAGCCATTCTTCAGCTCGTAGTGTTTGGAGCAAAAAGGGGTATTTTTTTTTGTTTTACTGGGGGGAGGGTGGGGTTTTCCCCCTTTTTTTTCCCCTTCTCCTCCCTTTTTTCCCCCCCTTTTCTCCCCATTTTTCCCTTCTCCCCCCCTTTTTGTCCCCCTTTCTCCCCTTTGTTTTTTTCTCCCTCTTTCCTCACCCTTTTTTTCCATTTCCCCCCTTTTTTCCCTTTGTTTTTTTTTTCTTAGGTTTTTTTTCCCCCTTTTTTTTCCCCTTTTTTTTTCCGTTTTCCTTTTTTTTTAAAAAAAAAAAAAAAAAGAAAACTAGTTTCTTTTTCTCCTACTTTCATCTCTGTTCCCAGTTAGATCCCTGCCGTGCTGCTTTCCTGGTTTGTTTGGTTTTTGCTTTTTGGTTTGGGGTTTGTTTTTTGTTTCTCAGCATCAGTTGCCGGCGAAGCGCCGAGGCGGGACAGTCGGTTTCTCGAGCCAAAATTACAGATGATTCTTATTTTTGTAATCATTTTGCTGGCTTCTTAACCTGGAGGAAGGTTTCTCGGGGAGGCGGGGAGGGGGGAGAAGGCAGCTGGAGGACTGCGGCGGCGGCAGGAGGAGGAGGAAGAGGAGGAGGAGGAACAAAAAAAAAATGTGTAGCTTTGTTGATTGACATTTGCAAGAGTTAAAGATGACAAAAAAAAAATCAATCAAAAAAAAAAAAAAAAAAAAAGCGCAATCTCAGTTTCAGCTGGATCTGTCACTGATCACGTCTCGGCGCGGGGCACGGAAGGGGATCGGCGCTGGACTTTTTGGGGGGAAAAAGCTGGTTTTTTTATTCACGCTTCAACAAAACCCCTTCTCTCCCCTCCGCCCCAGCCCCGCTTGTGCGTACAATCAGCTTTTTCTAGCAATCGTGAGTTTGTCGGTTTTAAAGAAAAAAAAAAAAAAAAAAAAAAAAGAAAAGACTTAAGAGTATTTTGACCCACCATTTTTTTCCATGTTTTATGCTGGTTTCAGGCCTCCGAAACAGGCGAAACGGGGAGGGGGACTACAATGTGTATATTACAACAGGAGGAGGAAAAAAAAAAATTTAAAAAGACAAAAAAAAAGAAAATGGCAAAGAACAGTTTGGGGAAAAAACTGCAATAATTTTTAGGGGGAAGGATGGGGGGAGGGGGTCTGTCAATTATTGTAGATAAAATTTTCTGATTAAATATTAAATAAAATTAAGCAGTCGGTTCTTTCTGCTTTGATTGTGTTTAACAGCTGAGGTAGCTTAAACTATTTAAAATAATAATAATAAAATAATAATAATAATTGAATTCTCTGTTGGGAGATAGCTTTTTTTTTTTTTTTTAAAAAAAAAATCAACCAAAAAAAAAAAGAAAAAAAAGAACCGGAGTTGCCAGCTCTTAACGTTTTCGTTGTTTCTGTGCCGGGGGGGTGTGGGGGATAAAGGTGTGGGGCAGCTGGGGGGGGTCACACAGGGAACCCACACCCCATCACTATGTTTCCTCATGCTGGGGAGCTGGAAAAGGGGAAATTTTGGGGAGGAGGAGGGGGGTGAGAGCGGCATGAAGGAGAATCACTGCGTTTCCTCATGCTGGGGAGCTGGAAAAGGGGAAATTTTGGGGAGGAGGAGGGGGGTGAGAGCGGCATGAAGGAGACCAGGATGGGGAGAGGTGGGGCAGGCGCGCTTCTAGCTGACAAGGCACTTTCTTTTTTAACTGGGTGGCTGGTTTCTAACATTTTTTGCTGCAGGAGGAGGGCTGCAGCCAGCGGCCGGTGCTGCCGTCTGCTGTCGGTGGTGGGGTTTTGCCCAAATAAATACAATAACAGGCAAAGCGGCCGCGCTGGTGCGGGAGGAAGAGATCCAGAGAGGGGATTCTGCCACTTTCCTCTGCTCTGGTGAGACCTCACCTGGAGTATTGTGTGCAGGTCTGGAGCCCTCAATATAAGAAGGACATGGACCTGATGGAGAGGGTCCAGAGGAGGGCCACAAGGATGATCAGGGGGATGGAGCACCTCTGCTCCGAGGACAGGCTGAGGGAGCTGGGGTTGTTCAGCCTGGAGAAGAGGAGGCTCCGGGGAGACCTAATAGCAGCCTTCCAGTACCTGAAGGGAGCCTACAGGAAGGCTGGGGAGAACCTGTTTAGAAAGGCCTGCAGTGACAGGACGAGGGGCAATGGCTTCAAGCTGGAGGGGAACAGATTTAGACTGGAGATGAGGAGAGGGTTCTTCACTGTGAGGGTGGTGGAGCACTGGAACAGGTTGCCCAGGGAGGTGGTTGAGGCCCCTTCCCTGGAGATATTCAAGGAGAGGCTCAACGAGGCCCTGGGCAACCTGGTCTAGTTGGGGGTGTCCCTGCTGACTGCGGGGGGTCGGACTAGATGGCCTTTGGAGGTCCCTTCCGGCCTGGACAATTCTATGATTCTATGATCCAAGGTGGCTCCAAGGTGATCCAGGGGTGGAGGTGGGAGAAGCACCCGGAGGGCGGCCACAACGGCAGCAAAACCAGCACTAAATCCACAGGGAGCCACCAGAGTGTTAACAGAACACATAGGCACACTCTGCACAGAATAATAACATTTAATTCTCCCCACCACAGAGCTGTTTTATGTCACATAACCGCTATCACCCCATGAGGGGACAACTACCTGCTGCTGGGCGTTAGCACTCCCAAGGACACGGCAGCTTTCCTCAGCTCTGGCCCTGGAGGAGCTGCCCCACACCCATTCACTTCAGCAATTTAAATTTCTTCAGGTGTTGGTGCACTTGGTCCTTGGGGTAGGGCCTGAGGGCCAGGCAGGTGGCCACGTTCTCGGGCTGCTCGGTCCACACATGGTGGTCGATGCTGTTCTGCTTCAGGGTCTCCACCAGCGCCGTCAGAGCGGCTTCGTCCGGAGCCTGGGGAGAGACAAAGTCATAGAGTCATATAGAATGGTTAAGAGTTGGAAGAGACCTTAAAGATCATCCAGTTCCAACCCCCTGCCATGGGCAGGGACACCTCCCACCAGACCAGGCTGCTCAAAGCCCCCTCCAACCTCATCTGAGGCCCACGGTCCCCTGTGCGAGCCGGGGTGCGAGGCAGTGTTGGGGAAAGAGGCAGAGCACGGTGGCTGCTGCTAAGGACAGAGATATTGCACAGAGATATTTCACTGAATTTTTAGAGTAGGAAGGGACCATAGAGATCATCTAGTCCAACTCCCCTGCTGAAGCAGGACCACCCAGAGCTTGTCAGAGCACGTTACTCAGGAGCATCCAGGCGGGTCTTGAAAATCTCCAGAGAAGGGGACTCCACACCCTCCCTGGGCAGCCTGTTCCAGGGCTCTGTCACCCTCACCGTGAAAAAAGTTCTTCCTCATATTCAAGTGGAACCCTTTATGTTCCAACTTGTGCCCATTGCCCCCTCTCCTCTCACTGGCAACTACTGAAAAGAGTCTGGTTCCCTCCTCCCTCAGCCCGCCCTTGAGATACTTGTAGGCATTAATAAGGTCCCCCCTCAGCCTTGCCTATTCGGTTGGGCAACCTCTGCATCTTACCTAAAAGGCATTTTGTTCTGGAAGGCCCTTGGCTGCAAGCAGTGGAGGGGAGAACTGAGGGTTTTCAGCTAACACGGGCTGTAAATTTTATAAGTAGGGGTTGTTTTCCCCTAGACAGCCTGCCTGGCTCAGCACGGGAAGGCAAACACCTCAGCCCGGGCCCACGTCCACACAGGGGCTGCCCCATCACCCCCTCACGAAGCGGGGGGCGCTCACCAGGGCTGCTGCGGCCCTCGGGGAGGGGGATTTACAGAGAATAACGGCGTCTCCGGGCCCGGAGGCGTGGCAGCCTCAGGGAATAGGGACCGGCGGCCATCGCGGAGGTGCTCAGGCCGCGGTTTAACTCCCCGGGCCCACGCAACCCCGCCATTGTCCCGCACCCCCCTCACCGCACCCCAAGGGTTCAGCCCAAAATGGCCGCCCGCCCGCCCGCTCCCCGCGGCGCTCCCGGCGTGCCCCGCGGCTCCCGGCCTGCCCCGCGCACCTCCAGCACGACGGTGCGCATGGCGCCGCCCATCTCCAGGTAGGCGCGGGTATCCGGGTGCTGGCGGTGTTCATGGGCGGCGGCCAGGGCGGCGTGGCAGCCCTGAGCCACCGTCGCTCCCAGCGGCCACGACCGGGCCAGGTCCCCCCGCAGCACCACGTACTGTACCAACGCCGCCGCCGCTCCGGGCGCTGCCATGCTGCCGTACGGCGCCGCACAGCCTGATGGGAGGCGCATGCCGGGAGTAAGGCGGGGGGGAGAGAGGCAGTGCCGCCGCCATTTTGTTGTACGGCAAACGAGGGGAAATGGTGTCTGGCGAGGTGACGTCCTTCCGGCGGCGCTGAGGCGCGCAGTTTGAGCGCCGGTTGCTATGGTGAGTGCGGGACCGGCGGGGAGCTGGGCCTGGGGTGGGGGGGACCGGGCCCCTCGTCCCTGTCCCCCTCGATGGGGTCCCCTCAGCCCCCCTGGAGCTGCCCAGGTCCCCCCTCTCTCCGCCCCGTCCCCTTCGGCGGGGGCCCGGCCCGGTCGGGCCCTGAGGGGAGAGCCCCGGTGTCTTCCTGTCACCTCCCCCCCCCTGCCACCGGGCTCGGCCTGATGGCGGAGTCCACTGAATCTTGTCTGTGCCTTCGCTCCCGGGAGGTTTTCCTTGTGAGGCTGGTGTGAGCTGGGGGATGAAGTAGTAGAAAGGAGCCCCGAGGGAAGGGATTTGGGGGTGTTGGGTGAAAAGCTCAACATGAGCCAGCAATGTGCACCAGCAGCCCAGAAAGCCAACCCCATCCTGGGCTGCATCAGGAGAAGTGTGACCAGCAGGTCACAAGAGGTGATTCTACTCCTCTATTTTGCACTCTTGAGACCCCACCTGGAGTGCTGTGTCCAGCTCTGGAGTCCTCAGCACAGGAAGGACATGGACCTGTTGGAACGGGTCCAGCGGAGGGCCACGGAGATGATCAGGCTGGATATTAGGAAAAATTTTTTCACTGAAAGGGTTCTCAGGCATTGGAATGGGCTGCCCAGGGAGGGGGTTGAGGCCCCATCCCTGGAGGTGTTCAAAAGACAGGTTGATGTAGTGCTGGGAGGTATGGTTTAGTGGTGGTGATGCTTCTTGTTTGTTGTGTGGGTGTCTATTTTTGTCAGTTGGGTTGACGGTTGGACAAGATGATCTTTAAGGTCCCTTCCAACCTAGAAGATTCTGTGATTCAGAGGGATGGAGCGTTTCTCCTATGAAGACAGGCTGAGAGAGCTGGGGTTGTTCAGCCTGGAGAAGAGAAGGCTCCAGGGAGACCTCAGAGCAGCCTTCCTTTATCTGAAGGGGCTGCAGGAGAGCTGGGGAGGGACTCTTTGTCAGGAAGTGCAGTGACAGGACAAGGGGTAACGGTTTTAAATTGGAAGAGGGGAGATTTAGATGAGATACCAGAAAGAAATTCTTTGGTGTGAGGATGGTGAGAGCCTGGCCCAGGTTGCCCCGAGAAGCTGTGGCTGCCCCATCCCTGGAGGGGTTGAAGGGCAGGTTGGAGGGGGCTTGGAGCAACCTGGTGTGGTGGGAGGTGTCCCTGCCCAGGGCAGGGGGGGTTGGAACTTGATGATCTCTAAGGTCCCTTCCAACTCTAACCATTCTGTGTGATTCTGTGAAATGGTGGATTATTAGAAATGGTGAAATAAGGATCACTGCCCTTGGCCTTGTTGAACCTCCTGAGGTTCATTAACGTGCCATTTCACCCAGCAGATTGTCCCTGCGTGGGGCCAGCCCGGGTGCTAGACCTGCCCTTGGCGCTTCTCGGAGTCCCGGTGCAGCAGCAGGAGGAAGAGGAAGGTGCCCTGAGGAAGACCTCTCACTGTCCCCACGTCATCACTTCCCAGGAGACACAGCCTGGCTGGACAGGGCTGACACAGAGAGTGACGAGGGAAGATGGAGGAAGGGAAAGTGTCTTCACCAGGGGGTGAGCTGTCTGGGGTGCAGGGTGTGGGTGCAAACCGTATTCTCCCCCAGGAGTGAAACCTAAAACACTGGCCCAGAAGTGATCCCTTGGCTTTCCAAGTTGTGCCTTGAGTCACTCTTGGCCAATTTAGGGTATGGGGGCTTCAGCGGTGTCTCTTCACTGCTCTTTGTGCTGGATTTGAAATAAAACTGGGAATTGCAGATCTCTTGGGGTGGGGACTGGTGTGTTTGCTGCTCACTCTGCTTTTCAGGAGCGTAGCAGGGCAGTGTTCAGGGTCTTCTGGCACTTAGCCTCACTGTTTAAAATTCCCAAAAACCTCTTTTCCAGAATTTTTCCTCTCCTCTGCCCCTTGGAAAAATCTGTTTTAAGTGGATTTTTTGTGTATTTGTGTTTTTGAGCGTGTTGTGCTTTTCCTTGCAGGGGTGTTCGCTCACCTGGAGTTGCTGGAGGCACAGGCTTCCGAGGCAGCCGTGAAGCAGGAGGAGAAGGAGCAGCAGGAGGAGAAGCTGGCCAGGCTGAGAGCGAGGGTGCAGGAGCTGAGGCTCCAGAGGGATAAGCTGAAGGCTAAACTGGACCTTCAGCAAAAAGAGGTGAGAAAGGGCTGGCTGCAGAGATCTGGCAGCGAGCTTTGGTGTGCCCCTGCTCTCAGAGGGTGGATTTATTGAGTTTATGTTTTTTATTTTCCCTTTTTAAGTGACATATAGTCCTAATGTGCCCTGTTTTCAGCACCACGTAATGCAGAACTGCTGCATCTACTTGCTTGGAGGTCGTGTGACCATTTCTGAACTCTTCTTTTGAGTTTTTCCTCCCCTTTTCTCCCTCATTTTTCCCCTCTTCTGCTTGAAATGCCATCTTGCTTTTCTCAGAGCCGGGTTATTATTTCTGAGTCTCTGGCTGTGTTCCCTGTAGGTGATGTTTTTGTGTCAGCAATTTCTGACCTCGCTTCTCTTCTGGCTTTTGCAGCAACTTGGGAAAGAAGGAGTCGTGTCGCACCCGGCCCAGCCCAGCCCTCGAGCTGTTTTAGAGTGGAAGATAAAAAGCGTTAAGTCCATGCTGCAGATCTTCTACCTCACAGGTGAAGTCTCCAGATTCATGCCAATGGCTGCATTTCTGGGGGGCTAAAATTTGAAAAACGAGCCTGATCTGAAATGCAAATTCCCTGTTGATGTTGCTGCTGTTGCGCTTGGAGCCTTTAGAGTGTGAAAATGCTGGAAAAGCAGTAATTTTATAATTCCTTGTCTTTCACGGGAGGCCTCTGGGGTGTTCCAGGAATTATTATTTACTGATCCGTATCATTTAAATTAAGGTCTAGATTCTGGATAAACATTTAATTACCTTGTGAATGAAATCTTTGGGAATTAGGCAGTGAAACACCCAGAGGTCTGGGTTTTCCAAGCAATAACTTGGAAAATAAACCAAATAAACCTTCTCTTTTCGGCCCCAAGGGATCAGTGGGAAGCTGACCAAGCGGGGGGTGTGTTTCTGCATCAGCACGGCTTACGAGGGCACCTACTTGGATTCCTACCACCTGGACCTCCTCACCAAGCCAGAGGTGCAGATTTCCCGTCACTCCCTCCCCACCTTCATCCCCCTGCAGCAGATTGCCAAGAAATACTTGCAGACGGACATCAGGCGCTTCTTCACCGTCCTGGCCGACCACCTCAACGCTTACGTGGGGAGGAGATACCAGGCAGACCAGTTACAGGTACCAGTGGCCACAGTGACAACAATCTCCCTTCCTTTTCTCTTTGATGTACCCAGTGTTACGAGTTTCTAAGGTGCTGGAGGAAATCTGGGCAGTTTTCTTTATGTGGAGCACTCAGTTCTGGTTTTTAGAACTTCACAAATTATCGTGTGACTCTCAACTCAGTTCCCTGTTTTGTCCATTGTCAGGTACTTGAATGTCTTGCTCCTTTGTGTTGGGTCAATGGTTGGACTCGATGATCTGCAAAGTCCCTTCCAACCTTGATAATTTTATCACAGAATCACAGAATCTTCTAGGGTGGAAGGGACCTCAAAGATGATCTTGTCCAACCGTCAACCCAACTGACAAAAATAGACACCCACACAACAAACAAGGAGCATCACCATCACTAAACCAGACCTCCCAGCACTACATCAACCTGGCTTTTGAACACCTCCAGGGATGGTGCCTCAACCCCCTCCCTGGGCAGCCCATTCCAATGGCTGAGAACCCTTTCAGTGAAAAAATGTTTCCTAATATCCAGCCTGAACCTCCCCTGGTGTAACTTGAGGCCATTTCCTCTCGTCCTGTCGCCTGTGACTTGGGAGAAGAGACCGACCCCCACCTCTCTACGCCCTCCTTTCAGGGAGTTGGAGAGAGCAAGAAGGTCTCCCCTCAGCCTCCTCTTCTCCAGGCTGAACACCCCCAGCTCCCTCAGCCTCTCCTCATAAGACTTATTCTCCAGACCCCTCAAAGTTTACTGTCTCCTCCCCTCCAGAGGTCCCTAAGCTGAAATAAAAGTTGCTGGAGGACGTGGTTTAAGGGTGTGTGTCTGTTTAAGCCTTTCCCAGACAAGACTCCTTTCCTATTTTTCGTGTCTCCATCCTTCCAGGAACACTTCTCAGACCAGATAGAAGGCACCTTGCAGAGGAACTCCTTGTGTAATTTGCTGGTCTTTAATTACAACGTGTCAAGTAAAAGCAAGACCTTTCCCTTCCACGCGAGGCTGCTCTACGGAGATCTCTGCTGCAGCCTCCCCACTGAAGTCGTCGTCTCCTGCACACGTAAGTGGACGATGTGGGGCTCTGTCTGGGGCGTGTGGAGTGGGCAGACCATGCTGTGGGTCTGCAGATGGATGGTCTGCTTCTTTCTGGTTGAGTTTGGGGGCAGAAAATAACAATTTCTGAGGGAGAAAAGGCTCTAGAAGGGGTTGTGTGCAGTCGGTGCTGGGTCTTGAAGCAGCTGTAGCTCTTCCCAAACACAAAAGTTGTAGGCAAATAAGACACGATCTTTTCAGCATCAGGAATCTCTCTCTCAATGCAATTAGAGAAATGATTAATTGATGCCCGGTGCAGCCAGGCTCTAGTTGCTCCTGCTGCATCATGGGGGATGCTGGCACGTCCTGCAGGGCAGCAGCAGAGAGAGGCAGGGACAGGGTTTTATCACCCTTTGGGAAACATCAGAGATGCTGTAAAATATTCCTAACAAAGATCTTAATACTCCTAACGAAGATCTCTGCCTGAAAACCTTTCCCTGACACTGCCTGCTCCCCCCATTCTCTACCAGTAACACTCCCTCCTCCCAGTACGGCCAAGACTGGCCCCAGTGCTGTGTCTCGTGCAGCCTGGACACCGTGGTGCAGCTCAGACCTGGATCTGCATTATTTGTTACTATAAATGCCAAACTGGAGTGAGGAATGGGTTGTCCTTCTGTCTCCCTGTGTTTCTGGCTGGGCTGTGGAGTGGTTGGACCGAGGTGCAGCTAGATGGAGCTGCGAACAGAGCAGCTGGGACCAAGAATCTCTTCTCTCTGCCATCAATCATGGTCTCAGGCCTCTTCTGCCACCTCCTTGGCTCCCAGAGGGGCTGGAGGAGGAAATGTGCACTTGGTCTGGAGCACAAGTCTTGTGAGGAGCAGCTGAGGGAGCTGGGGGTGTTCAGCCTGGAGAAGAGGAGGCTGAGAGGAGACCTGCTCGCTCTCTCCAACTCCCTGAAAGGAGGGTGTAGCCAGGGGGGGTCGGTCTCTTCTCCCAAGGAACAGGGACAAGAGGAAATGGCCTCAAGTTGCCCCAGGGGAGGTTTAGGATGGAGATTGGGGAAAATGTCTTCTCTGAAAGTGTTGTGAAGCCTTGGAAGAGGTTTAAATCCCCTGGAGAGATTTAAAAGCCAGGCAGATGTGGTGCTGAGGGACATGGGTCAGTGGTGGGTTCATCAGTGTTGGGTTGATGGTTGGACTCCATGATCTTGAAGGTCCCTTCCAACCCGGACAATTCTACGGTTCTATGTATCAGCAGTCCCCCCTCTCCTTTCCTTGCAGTAGCCATCCCTTTCTAGGTGAAGTTCTACCTTTCCTCACCAATTTCAGTGTCTTCTGAGCCAAGAGAGCAATTAGGTGGCTGAGGCTCCCCGTTCCTGCCCTTGCCCTCCAGCTGTGGGGGTTCCTCAAGTCGCCGCTCTCCGCAGCCACCAAATCCCCCGGGAGAGACGCGAGAGGCGAGGGGTTAGGAAGGAGAGAGAAGGGTTATGAGAAGAAAAACTCCATGGCAGGGGAGAGTGGAAAAACTCCCCGGGGACAAGGGGAGAAGGAGAAACAAATAGTTTGATGCTGGTGTGATGGTGTTCCCTGCTGATCTGTCCCCTTCTGTTGCCAGCGGATGCTCCGGCAGCTCTAGCGGAGATGGCAGCAGCTCACACAGACCTGTTTCGCCACGTGGCCCTGCACAAAGCCTTCTCCTCCTTCAGCAGCATCGAAGAAAGCTTGGTTGGAGCTCTGTAACCCCTGCCCTGGCTCTCCCCAAAACACAGATATTTCCCATGGACTGCAGCCCTGCTGCTGGAAACCCCCCCAAGGAGGAACGGGCCCGGTTTGAGTCCGGAGAGCGATGATTCATTCCTCCAGGCTTTCGTGTCTCTTGTTGCAGGTAATTTTTCCTCAGCTCTGTGTTTCTCACTTCTTTGAGCTCCAATCTCTGAGGCTGGTGCCACAGAACTCCACAGCTGCAGGGAAACATCTCCCAGTTGGGATCAGAAACTGTGTTAAACCTTCAAGATCTGGGTGTTTTGGGGGGCAGTGCCCTATGGAGCAGCACCGTGAGTGTATCCAGCACGAAATACTCTATGCTCTGCTGCCAAGAAGGGACTTCAGGTGAGAAGCTGGAGGGTGGTGGAAGGACAGAGGTGAGGTTTAGTTACTGCCAGTGCCCTCGTGTGGGCTGCATTACCCCCCCAAAGCATTAAACACTGAACTTTATGGAAATTAAACTGAAATTTCACACCAGCAGAGGCTTTTCACGTGCTATTTCCTTCCCTTCAGGCACGGGGCAGCTTTTGCTGGTGTCCCCTTGTTGTGCTTCAAGCCTGGATCAAATCTCTAAAACCTTACTGTTTTGTCACAGTGCTTTTTAAACTCATTAATAAACCTTCAGTGTTACTGAAATCGCGCTGGTTAAAAATATCTTCTGTTAATGTCCTTGTTGGTTTAGAATAGAAGGGGGTTTAAATGACAATATATGTATAACGGGGTTTAAATGACAGTGTTTTCTCCTCTCTCATTTTTATGCTAGTCCCACGTGCGATAAGGCTCAGGGAAAGCACTTTATAATTGTTTTTCAGTTATTTCTCTGATCATTAGAGCTCCTTGTCCCTGTTGAACTGAAGGATCTGTTTGAATATAACCTCTGCCTTTCACCTGTCCTGGCTTCGGATTCCTGCCCCTAATGCTGGGACCTCCTGATTAGAGCTCCTTGTTATGGTTGAACTGAAGGCTCTGTTTGAATATAACCTCTGCCTTTCACCTGTCCTGGCTTCAGATTCCTGCCCCTAATGCTGGGACCTCCTCGGGGAGGAAGACTTGAGCTTGCAGAGGACAGATTTATGTGGTACTTTCCTGTCGAGGTCCCTCTTCTTACCGCTCCCACCAGGGGAGGCAGAGCCCTGACCCTGCTGCAGGGTTTGGCTTTTGGGGAAAATCTGTGCGAAATGGGCACTGAAGGGCCCCAAGTTGTCACTGAGGCAGCTTCAGCAAAGCTGGGCGTAACCCAGGTCTAGGGCCAGGTCCAGGCTGAAATTTCTTCATGGAAAGGGTTGTGAAGCCTTGGCAGAGGCTGCCCAGGGCAGTGGTGGAGTCCCCATCCCTGCAGGGATTGAAAAGCTGGGTAGATGTGGTGCTGAGGGACATGGGTCAGTGGTGGGTTTGTCAGTGGTGGGTTGATGGTTGGACTCCATGAGCTGAAAGGTCTTTTCCAACCAAACCGACTCTATGATTCCTTAAGACCCATCACCCTCCAAAACCCTCAGGAAGGGGGGTCAAAATAACTCTATGATTCCTTAAGACCCATCACATTCCAGGCTTGTCCCCTCCAAAACCCTCAGGAAGGGGGGTCAAACCCTCTCCCCATCCCCCTCTCCCAACCCCCAGAACAAAGCAGGCGCAGAATCAGGCTTTGAAATCCAACTGCTTCTATTCAAGAAGAAACTAGCGGCGTAATTACACTCTGTGGGTGCCAAACCTTCTCCCCCCTGGTCCTGGCAGCGCCGGGTCTAACACCCCCCTGTCCCCTCCAGGGTCCTCTCCTCCATCGAGTGACAGCGTCCGGCCGAGGGGAGGGAATGGGCCCAGTTAAAAATATAAATGTCAATCTGTACTCTTTATATTATATATATTTATATATCTGAAATACACAATATCGGGTCCTTTTCCTTCTTCCTCTCCGTCTCCCTGATCTCCAAACGATGGGGGAGTTTGTGACGAAGATGAGTTAACGGACGTGGTGGGGAACCCTGGTCAGTGCCAGGGTGTAGCCACCGCTCCTGGCATGCAGGAGAGATGTGGTGTCTTCTCCTCCAGCCCTGAGTTTGGATCTCCTCCTGCCCAGCGGTGCCGTGGCCCTGTGATGCTACTTCCATGTCCCGTTGTCCCCTCCTCCTTGCCCGGTGAAACCTGGGACGCCCAGTGAAAGGCAAGTGTGTTGTCCCCGTTCCTCCAACGGCCAGAGGAACCCGCTGAGGTGGCCCCTCGTGTCTCCCTCCTGCCGTGGAGTGAGGGAGAACCCATCAACCAGAAACCTCCAGCGGGGGCTCGGAAAAGATCGTGTGAAGGGGTTGGTTTCTTGAGTTTGGTTGCGGATCTGGACGGTGGTGGGATGGACATCCTTGGGTGTCCCCCGGCACCTGGAGGCAGTGGCTGTGGTGGCAGGTGGGCGCGGGTGCAGGACCCTCACGAGCTGTCCACCACCTGATGGGGCAGGGTGACGGAGGAGCCATTGACGAAGGAGCCCTGTTTCTCCCGGCCCTTGAGGAAGAAGGTGAGCAGCTCCCCTTTGCCCTTGACGTAGATGGCTCCCCGGCGCACGAAGCGGAAGCCGTACTCCTTCAGGATGAGGTGGGTCTCCTCCACCACCTGCAGGAACAAGGGGGAGACATGGTGGGAGGCTTGGGGATCCTTGTGTGGCACGTGACATGGGGAGCAGGGACCCCCGTGTGCCACTCAGACAACAGGTCTACCCACCAGCCACTCAGACAACAGGTCGACCCACCACCCACCTCAGTCCTGGGGTGTCCTTTGAGCCCCACCTTGTCCTACTCTCAGCTCGGAGGAGACCCTCAACCAACCCTGATCCTTCCATGTGCTCCCAGCACCGCTGTCGCCCCTCCCACCCAAAGCCCAGGCTGCTGTCCCACCCAACCCATGGGTTCCCAATTTGTCCCTCCTCTTCCTCACCCCACCTGTATGTTCCCCATGACGCCGGTGGACTCCATCCTGCTGGCCACGTTCACCGTGTTGCCCCAGATGTCATAGTGTGGTTTGCGGGCACCGATGACGCCCGCCAGCACGGCCCCCTTGTTCATGCCTGCGCAAGACAGGGAGTAGATGTCACCTCCGTGCCTGGTGACACAGATGGGACATCCTGGTCTGCAGGAGTGGGTGTCCCAGGGGACGGGTTGGGGCAATGAGGTGTCCTCCCTAGCCCTCACTGGTTACAGCTGCTGCCCAGTGTCCCACCACTGGTGGGAAAGAGGGACAGGGGACACCGACAGACCCTGCCCCACGCTCCCGGACTTGCCTATGCGGAGCATGAAGTTGTTGAAGGACTGGTAGTTGATGTTCATCAACGTCACCTTCATGGCTAAGGCAAAGTCGGCCAGGTCGGCCAAGTGCTGCCAACGCTCCTTATCCGAGAGGGTCTCCTTCTGCAAGGACAGCGTGGGTCAAGTCTGCCCATCCTTTGCCCACTGTCACCCCACCACGAGGACTGCTCACCTTGGCACTGTAGCCGTTGGTGTTGGCATCGGGGGTCACCCCAGAAGCGGCCATGTAGGTGCTGCCAATGGTTTTGATTTTGGTGATGCACCGGAACTGGGGTTCATCCAGGAGCTGGGCCATGGAGACAAGACCTTCAGGCACCCCAGGGCCACAGTAGGTCCTTCTGCCCCAAGATGGGGCAGGAAGGGAAGGCCTGGTAAAGCCCCATGACATCCCCGTGGCCAGTTCCATCCCAACTCACCGCGTCGAAGTCAGAGATGATCTCGTTGAGGAACCGCAGGCACTCGATGCCCCCGTTGTTGATGCTCTCCTCCGTGTAGAAGTCGGCAAAGTTGGGGAGGGAGGCAAACATGACACCGATCTCATCGTAGGACTGGCTGTACAGCTCCTGGGGGAGGGACAGAGCCAGGGACATGTTCACCCATGACACCAGCACCTCTGGCAGCCCCAAACCCCACCCCGTGAAGCCATCTTCACTTGGCACTCATGAAAAAAATGAGGGTGCCCTGCAACGTCACCCTTCATGGGATGGTGGCCATGAGCCAGGGACACGTTCACCCATGACACCAGCACCTCTGGCAGCCCCAAACCCCACCCCGTGAAGCCATCTTCACTTGGCACTCATGAAAAAAATGAGGGTGCCCTGCAACGTCACCCTTCATGGCCAATATATTGTCTTCATCCAACCAAAGATGCTCAGCCAGAGCTTTCAGCAAAGCCTTTGGATCCAGAGGGCTCCCTCCCCCCCGCCAAAAAGCGAGGTAAATCCCCCCTCCTGGGTGCCACTCACCTCATCCCGCTTCTTGGAGCCCAGGAAGTGCCGGGCCACGTGCTCAGGCAGCATGTTGGTGACAAGGGCCTCATTCCAGCGTCGCATCTCGTAGACCCTCTCCTTCTGGTCATGGACATCAATCTTCCAGAGGAAGAGGGTCCTGGCCAGCTTCTCCACCTGTGAATGGGAGGAGATGGCTTCACTCCCAGTTCCCACTCGCCAGTGCATCCCTTCCAGTGCTGGGGGCAACCTGGCCGCTGTGGGGCCAGTCTGGGCTTGGACACAGCCTGGAAGAAGGCTCTGGGACAAGGTGAAGTCCTGACTGGGGATGTGAGACCTGCTCTGAGGTGCAAAATGGACTCTCACAGGGCAGGCGTGGGCCTTGGGGTCACCACGTTGCTGCCCATCCCTAACCATGGGGTCAAGAGGGAGATGTTCTCTGCACTGATGTGGTCCTGGAAAGAAAGGGCTTCCTTGGGTGGGCTTTCTTGGAGAAGAGCTGGAGATGCTGTTCACAGCTGGGGACGAATCCTGCTGCCTTGGAGTTTGCAAGAAATAAGGGCAGGGGCTGAGGGTGACGATGCAGAGGAGAGGGGACCTTCCTGGGGTCGGGGGGGTGCAAGTCACTTACATGGCGAGAGAAGTAGTAGAAGCTGAGCATCACGATGAAGATCATGGCCGTCATGGAGTACTTGGAGGGGACCAGCGAGGACCTGCCGGCAGAGGCAGCGAGGTGTGGGTGGGTGGTGGGCACGGCCGTGCCCCCCAGCCCCGTGCCCACCCCCTTGCCACCCCTTACGTGCTTTGCTGGCCACGGCGGCGGTCGTACTGGTCGAAGATGTGATCCCAGGCATAGATGTTGACAGCGCCGGTGGCCCCGGTGATCAGCACCATGAGAGTCAGCTTGACCATGTGGCTGACCTGCACCAGCATGATGGTGGCCACCAAGGCCAGCAGGGCGATGTAGCTGTAGTACTTGGGCTGCTCTGCGCAGCCACCCGGCCATGGTGGCCCCACTGTCACGTTGCCCATCCCACCGTGGTCCTGCCGGCAGCTGAGCTGGGGGCACGAGGGCAGGGTGAGGATGGGGACATGGGGATGGGGTGCACCTCACCATGGGCTGCATGGACACTCAAAGGGACAGGGTGCTTTGCAGAGCAGAAGGACACATGACCTAAATTCCACCATCCCCCCCCTTGCCAACAGTCCAGCCTTGCTAATTGCTTTAATGATCGGCTGTGCACGGGGCTGTGCACAATTATGGGTTGCCTGGATGGAGGTTGGTGCAGGCTCAGCCCTGCTGGCACCCGGTACGGTGGCTCACCATGTCCACGATGTCAGCCATGATGACGATGATGATGGCGGCCATGGCCCAGGTGTTCCGTGCCCAGCGCGTCCTGTCGATCCAGGTGGAGAAGGCCACGAGCTTTTTGGGGAAGACCTGTGGGGAGAGGAAGGTGGGGAGGGGTTCACCCAGGCAGGACACAGTGATGGGACATCATCACAGAGTCTCATCACCATGAGTGGTGAGCCCATCCCGTCTCACCCGGGGGAAAATGGCAGCCAACGAGCAGACAGTGAGGATGAGCAGCAGGATCTCCCCCACCACAAAGGTCACGTAGTTGGCCACCAACCTGTCAAAAAGGACAAGAGGAGATGTGTTTGAAGCCTGGTGGAGCTGAATGTGGCTTGGGGCCACATCCCCACCACCTCACAGCCATACCAGGGGTCGATGAAGACCTCCACCAAGGCGGTGAAGAAGAGGACAACGCAGGAGCAGCTGAAGGCGGCCCCGCTCTGCTTCTCCTTCTCCACCGAGTAGCGTGTCTCCATTTCGGGGTCAATGAAGCGCATGGAGAGCCGGAAGGTGCTCTTCCCCTTCAACCTGCCGGAGACAATGCCCATCAGTGCTCGGTGACACTGGGGAGCTACCGAGCCGTGCCGGGATGGGCCACCGGCTGAGGTGACTCACGCCTGGATAGACTCGCGCTCCAGCAAGGCTTCGTTGAGCAGCTTGTTGAGCTCCTGCTCATTCTGGGAGGCGTCGATCACCCGCTCGGCCAAGTCCCGCAGCCGCAACCGCCGCCGAGGGTTGGGGAAGGAGGGGTTCACCGCCTGCACCGGCACAGACAGGCGTCAGCGAGACCACGCCGGGTGTTCAACCACCACGGTGTGGCCATCAGCAGTGCCCCTCACAATGCTGGTGAGATGCTTTGCACGGGCTGTACCTCTCCATCCTCCTCCCCGTTCTCCAGGATGCCCCTCACCCTGGCATCAGTCTCCTCGGGCTCCTCGGGGCTGGTGCAGGCCAAGCTGAGGCTGCCGTTGCGCTCCTTGGTGTTGACCAAGGGTGGGGAACCACCATGGGATGAGGTCAGGGACAGCTTCTGCAAGGTGGAAGGAAGGTGGTGAGTGACAGTGGGGTGTCCCCACCACCCCGGCGCCGCTGCCACCACTCACCACCCCGTTGATGCCGTTGCGCAGGGGCTGCTTGGGGACCACGACGAGGTAGGTGACGATGCCCTTCTCCTTCAGGTACTCGCAGCGTGTGCCACCTTCACCCGGCTCCACCTCGAACTCGCCCTTCAGGCAGTCCATGGTGCTCTGCGAGATGTGCACCCGCCTGCCAGCACCAGGCGCCAACGTCACCCTCGGGTGCAGGACACCCTTGTCCCCCATTCCCTACCCCCTCCCTGGGAGATGCTCACCCGGGGATGCCCCCAGCCTCCATCTTGTTGGCCACGGTGACGTCGGTGGACCACACGTCGTACTGCCAGCGCTTCTGGCCCAGCACGCCCCCCAGCACCGTCCCACTGTGCACCCCCACACGCATGTCCACCGCCGTCTTGGTCTTCTCCCGCACGTAGCTGGGGGTGGGAAGACAAGGATGATACAGAGTCATCAAATCTTAGAATGGTTTGGGTGGGAAAGGACCTTTAGAGGCCACCTAGTCCAAACCCCTGGCACAGGCAGGGAGATCTTCAACGACAGCAGGTTGCTCAAAGCTCCTTCCAACCTGACCTGGGATGTTTCTCAGCACAGGAGAGACATGGAGCTGTTGGATGGGGTGGAGATGCTGGGAGGGCTGGAGCCCCTCTGCTGGGAGGGGGGGCTGAGAGAGTTGGGGGGCATAAGCATGGAGAAGAGAAGGCTCCAGGGAGACCTTGGAGCCCCTTCCAGTCCCTAAAGAAGGGGGGCTCCAGGAAAGCTGGGGAGGGACTCTGGCTGAGGGAGGGGAGCCCTAGGAGGAGGGGGAAGGGTTGGACACTGCAAGAGGGGAGATGGAGCTGAGCTGTGGGGAAGAACTTGTTTGGTGGGAGGGTGGTGAGAGCCTGGCCCAGGTTGGCCCGAGAAGCTGTGGCTGCCCCATCCCTGGAGGGGTTGAAGGGCAGGTTGGAGGGGGCTTGGAGCAACCTGGTGTGGTGGGAGGTGTCCCTGCCCAGGGCAGGGGGTGGCAATGGATGGTCTTGAAGGTCCCTTCCAACCCAAACCAGTCTATGATTCTGTGACCTCCTCCCAAACCATGTGCACCCCACAGCCCACCCCAATTAATTAGCACCCCTCCATATTTTGCTACATTTTGCAGAGGCTGGACCCCTAGAGTCCACCAGGACCCCCACAACATCCACCCTGACACCCCACTCTCGGGGGGGGGGTTGAATTTCCCCCCACCTCCCCAAGGAGAAAGCCCTTACGAGATGGCCTCCACCATGGCCAGCCCCATCATAATGGAGCAGACGGCGTGGTCCTCCCGGTACTCGGGCAGCCCGCAGATGCAGTAGTAGCAGTCGCCCAGGATCTTGATGCGCAGCTGGTGGTATTTCTGGTGAAGGAGGACATGGAGGGGGGGGGAGGCACAGTGTCACCCCCCCACCCATCCACCCATCAGCTGGGACATCCCTCCCCCTCCAGCTCCCTCCATCCCTCTCCCAGCCTGACCTTGACCCAGGCACAGGTCCCTCCCTCTCCCAGCTGGGACATAAATAATCGGATTTTCCATTCCCACCCTGCTTCCCCCCCCTCCAGGGCTCGGCTGGGAGCCCGGCTGCACCCGGGCTGGGGGGGGTGTCCCCCTTTCCCCTCCCCAGTCCCCCCCCCTCCCTCTTCCCAGCTCTATTTTTGCCACACAGGGCAGGGTGTCTCCCACATCTCAGAGAAATAATATTTTAACCTCCTCCTCCCCATCCTGGGATCCCGGCTCTCAGCTGAGGAGGTGGCTGAGACCTGCCCCGCTCGTTACATGCCAGCCTAGGGGGGATGTTGGGGGGCAGGGGGGGACAGGGGGGACACACACTCACGGCTGCCAGCTTGTCAAAGCGGGCGAAGAGCTCGTTGAGGAGCTTCACCAGCTCCTGGGCACTGCAGGAGGAGGAGAGCTGGGTGAAGCCCACGATGTCTGCGAAGAGGATGCTGTGGGGAGCAACAGTGAGGGGCTCAGCCCCATCATGTGTGTGTGTTCCCCCTTCCCCTCTCTCCTTTTTGGCCAGAGAAAAGGTTATTTTTGGGACATGGCTGAAAAACCCTGTAAACCACGGCTGGAGCAAAAAGGAGCCCCCAAGCCATGGGCTGGTTGGTGGCTGTCCCCTGTCACTCTTCACTTTAGCTGCAAACCACCCTGGTCTCTCCCTTCTTTTCTAGCCAGGATGGCAAAATGCACATTTCTGCCAAAAAAAAGCACTTAAAAAATTGGAGGTTTTATCCCAGAGGGTGAAGAGCTCGTTGAGGAGCTTCACCAGCTCCTGGGCACTGCAGGAGGAGGAGAGCTGGGTGAAGCCCACGATGTCTGCGAAGAGGATGCTGTGGGGAGCAACAGTGAAAGGCTCAGCCCCAGCGTCTGTGTGTGTGTCCCCTTCCCCTCTCTCCTTTTTCGCCAGAGAAAAGGCTATTTTTGGGACATGGCTGAAAAACCCTGTAAACCACGGATGGACCAAAAAGGAGCCCCCAAGCCAAGGGCTGGTTGGTGGCTGTCCCCTGTCACTCTTCACTGCAAACCACCCTGGTCTCTCACTTCTTTTCTAGCCAGGATGGCAAAATGCACATTTCTGCCCAAAAAAAAGCACTTTAAAAATTGGAGGTTTTATCCCAGAGGGTGAAGGTTCGGTCCTACCTGACGTTCTCGTGGCGGTACATGTACATGGTGTTGAACTGCTGCATCTCCTTCTGGCTGGGGTCCTTCTTCATGTCCTTCAGCATCTCGTCAGCCACGTGCTTGGGCAGGATGGAGAGCATCAACCGCTCCTGGGGGGGGGACAAGGCAGGGACAGGAGTTGGCCACGATGGCAAAGTGGCATCCCCAAGCTCCTGGCCCCTTGCTGTGGAGCTGGTGGTCCCCAGAAGATCCCAAGACCCATCCAGGTCTTTGGCTCACCCTTGGGGAGGGAGCCAGTGGATCAAACCATGGGTGAAACAGAGGAGAAGGTCAGAATGGGGTGTCCCAGGCACCCCAGGGAGCTGGGAGCCATCACCCCTACTCCAAACCCACACCCACAGGTGGAGGGGATGCTCCCATGGGTGGCAGGTCCCCCTTGGTGACCCTCTGCCAGGGATGCCAACCACTGCTTTTACCATTTTCCTCCCTATTTTACAAGTTCCCATCAAGATCTTTGAAAGTGGGAATAAATCCCAGCCAGGGGAGGGTGGCAGTTTTGGGGCACTGCAGCCACCTCCCTCCCTGTCCCCAGAGCCATGGAAAGAAGGGACGGTCCCACAGGCTTAATTGGACACCAGCTAATGAGCTGCAAAAATTGCTTGTGCCCCCCAAATCCCTCCTGCAGGCGTGATACAGAGCCCAGTCCCTCACTGGGAGCTTGAGAATTAAAATGCTTTGGGCTGGCCAAGGTTTTATCAGCACAAATAAACCTGGGACGTGGTGCTGGGAGGGACCTCGGGGTCTGCACTGGTGTCCCCCAAGGTCCCTGCGAGCTGCCCCAGGGTGTCCTGCCCCACAGGTGGGTCAGGGCAGGGTGTATGGACCTGGGTTAAACCACACCAGGGAGGATTTATGGATTGAAAAGCGCGGTGGGTACCCCACATCCAGGCATAGGACTCAACCAAGGTCCCCCCAGGAGGATCAAGCCCACTGGGGGACATCGTACCCATTGCTGTCCCCACAGCCCCGGAGCTGGAGAAGGGAAAGATCTTCCTGGCTGCACGTGGGGATTTGCACTAAATGTCATAACTTGGTTAATGAAGTGGGTTTTCCCCCGGGACGGGGGCGTTTCCATGCGCAGCCACCACGGGGCTGTTGCTGGAGGAACGGCACCGTGTCCCCATCCCTGTCCCCATCCCTGTCCCCATCCCCGGGGGCTGCTGGAGGGGAGGTGTGTAGAAGCTCCCAGGCTCCTCTCAGCTCCCTTTAACCTTAGCTCTGCCCATGGGGCTGCCAGTTCAGCCCCCACTGATGGCCTGGAGGGAGGAGGGATGGATCTGGTGGCCAACATCACCCCCTGCCCCGAGCCACTCAGCCACATGCCAGCAGCCTTTCCTGCAACATCACGGGCTGTTTTTAGCTCAATTCCCTCAGGAAAATGAGCTCATGTGACAAGAATCCCCGTGTCCCTCCCTGTATCCCACCACGAAAACCCATGAGCTGGGGATTCAAAGGCGTCCTCGCTTCAAACATCTCCCCCCACCCCAGGATTTGCCCCCGTCACCTAAACCTAACCCCTTATTAGCCATCAGAGCATCCACCCAGGTTTTGCAGCAAGGAGGACGCCGGTGGCGCTGGCCCCACCACGTGTCTCTTGTTGCCATTGGGAGCAAATTGCTGGCAGCGGATCGACTAGATAAGAGATGGGAGAGAGGCCCCAGATAAGGTGGCTAAAATTAGCCCAGCTCATCACCGGACGGTGGCTGGAGACAACAGGGCTTTGACACAGCCAGCTGCCACCACGACACCCCGTCCCCTCCCACCGCTCCTCCTGCTGGGCCACCACGGCACGGTGCTGGCACAGATGTCTACGTGGGGCTCTGCTGTGGTGGGCACCCATCATGGGATGAGTGGAGAGCAGCTGGATGTGTTGGCTCTCCCTTCCCTGGCATGGTCTGCTGCAGGACCAGCCCATGAGATGGCTGGGGATTTGGTGGGGACCTGCTGGTGGCCATGCCTGGGGCTGGGGACATGCTGCGTGGCCATGTCTGGGGATGAGGACCTGCTGGTGGCCATGCCTGGGGCTGGGGACATGCTGCGTGGCCATGTCTGGGGATGAGGACCTGCTGGTGGCCATGTCTGGGCATGGGTACATGCCATGTGGCCGTGCTCAGTGATAGGGACTCAGTGGTGGCCATGTCTGGGGATAAGGACCTGCTGGTGGCCATGTCTGGGGACGGGGACCTCCTGTGTGGCCAAGCACAAGAATGAGGACCTGCTGGTGGCCATGCCTGGGCATGGGTACATGCCATGCGGCCATGCTCAGAGATAGGGACCCACTGGTGGCCATGTCTGGGGATGGAGACTGACTGGTGGCCATGCCTGGTGGCCATATCTGGGGATGGGGACCTGCTGGTGGCCACGTCTGGGGACGGGGACATGCTGTGTGGCTGTGCCCAATGACAGGGACATATGCTGCAAGGCCAACCCTTGGGACCTGCCACACGGCTGTGCACAGGGATGGGGACCTGCCACGTGGCTGCTCCTGGGGACCTGCAATGTGACCGTGCTTGGGGACAGGGACCTGCCACGTGGCCATGCCTGGGGACCCGCCATGTGTCTGCACCTGGGGACCTGCCACGTGGCAGTACCCGAGGACCTTTGGTGTGGCTCTGCTTGGTGGTGGCCATAACAGGAGCTGGGAGGCCCTGGAAGAGGACGGTCACATGGAGAGTCCCCACATTGGGCACAAAACTGCAAACTCCTGTCCCCAAGCTGGGCAGGGTGCAGGCTGTGGGTGCCGTAGCCACGTCCCAAAGCCACACCGATGTCCCATCACCGTCCCCTGCCCTGTCCCCACGCTGTCCCCAGGCTCCTACCTGCTGCTGGCTCTGCTCCTCCAGGTTGAGCTTGACCTCCAGGGACTGGCGCGCTTCGAGGAAGGCTTTGCGGTGCTTGCGGTCGGCCATGTAGTAGGACATGGTGCCCACCGTGATGGCACAAAGGTAGATGGCAACGTTGGACAGGATCTTTGGGGACAGAGAAAAAAAAACATATGAGGGTGAGCGGGACCTGTGTGTGCCCCCCAGGGACAGGGGTGGTGTCCCCACGAGTTCCTCTTTGGGAAAAAGTATTCAAATGCTGGAGAAAGACAGAAAATTCACCCTGGGGATAAACCACCAAGCCATGGCCACCGTTGACTGTTGAGGGGACACACTGGGGACAGTCATGATGGCTCTGCAGCAGAGATCTAGCCAGAGATGGAGCCCTGAGCATCCTCGTGGTCCCCATGGGCTCTCATTAAAGCTTGCAGAGATGTTTTGGAAAAAGGCAGCTGGTGGCAGGGCCGGGCACAGCCCCGGGGGAAGGCGATGCTGGAGGAGAGTGGCTCTCGGTGCCTCACGTGCCATCCCCTCCCCCCATCCCTGCCATGGGAATTGCTCCCCTCGGTGCAGAAAAAGTTCATAAAAACACAGCCAAACCCTAAAATCTTGCATTTATGCCCCTCTACATCTCTCTGAAGAGCCAAACCCACGGGTGTGAGGCTGCAGCACCAGAGATGGATGGCCCTGGGTATCTCTTGCTGTGACAACCCACCCTGTTTTCTTTGGGGTTTCAAGGCAGCACAGCACGGATCCTGTCCCCATGGGCAGGACCTTGTCCCCGTGAGCTGGACCCTGTCCCCATGGGCAGGACCTTGTCCCCATGAGCTGGACCCTGTCCCATCCCACAGGCTGGACCCCAGCTCCATGGGAGAGGACCCCCATCCTCTGGGATGGATCCCATCCCCATGGGCTGGACCCTGTCCCCATGGGATGGGCTTTGTCCCCCTGTCCCATCTCACAGGCTGGACCCTGGCTCCATGGGCTGGACTCCATCCTCTGGGATGGATCCTGTCCCCATGGGCTGGACCCTGTCCCCATGGGATGGGCTTTGTCCCCCTGTCCCATCCCACGGCTCCATGGGGTGGACCCCATCCTCCAGGCTGGACCCTGTCCCCATGGGATGGACCCATCCCATCCCATCCCACCAGCAGGACCCTGTGTGTCCCCACAGCCCCGGCGAGGCCGGAGCAGGTTTGCAGATGGTGGCAAAGTGCCCTTCGTGGAAAGTATGAGCCATGAGGGAAAGTTGAAAGAATTCAGTTTGTTTAGTCTAGAAAGGGAAAGAGCGCCGGGGAGGATGTGATAACAGGCTCCAGCTATGCCCAAGAGGTGACGGGGACACAGAGACGTCCTCCCACCCTCCGGGCCATGGGCTGTGTCACCACCAGTGCGGAGGAGGCAGCGGGAAGAGGATGGAGCCTTTCCCGGGCTCATCTCCATCAGGGATGAGCTGCTGTGCTCAGAATCCTTCTCCTGAGCCCTGGGGCTCTTCAGTCTGGAGAAGAGAAGGCGTTGCAAACCCCCTCCCAGCATCCCAAATATCCCAGGGAAAGCCCCGAAAAGGAGGAGGCCCCGCTCCTGGCATGGTCAGCGGTGATTAATTGCGCTCGGTAATTGGGGGGGAGTGAGACCCCGGGACCAACCTGGTCCCAGTATCCCACAGCCCAGCTCGCTCGGAGAAGAACCCCAATGTGACCCCGGTCCCTGGGTGTCCCCATCCTGGGAATTCTTACCACCCAACATCAGGGAGCCCCGAGGAGCCTGATTGGGGGGGAGTGAGATCAAGAGGTGCAGGACCCCACCCTGCTCCCGGAGTGGTCAGCGGTGATTAATTGCGCTCGGTAATTGTGCCGAGCATCCCCCAGCCGTGCTGTGGATGCTCAGCCCCCCAAAAATCTCCCCCCCAGTGCGTGCCCACACGCCTGGAGTGGCAAAACCCCTCCCAGCATCCCAAATATCCCAGGGAAAGCCCCGAAAAGGAGGAGACCCTGCTCCCGGAGTGGTCAGCGGTGATTAATTGCGCTCGGTAATTGGGGGGGAGTGAGATCAAGAGGTGCAGGACCCCTCAGGGCTGGCGGAGGGAGCTTCATCCCTCTTTCCCCACCCCGTATCCCGCAGGAAAGGTGGGGGTGGGATGCGCTGGGATGTTCTCCTCTCACAGTGACAGGGAAGAGCTTCCAACCCCTTCCTCACAGGGGGAAACTGAGGCACAGATGAACCAAGCCATGTGCAGCAATAAATACGGAGCCCTGGCACCATCCTGGGCTTGAAAAAAATCTTTCCAGCAGGAAAAATTACTTTTTTTTGGGTGGGGGGGAAGAAGACGATGAGCAGGGGAGAGGCCATGAGACCCTGCCCCCAGGCCCCAGGCTGCAGGAGAGGGATCCCCGGGAAGCCCCCGCACCCCCGGCGCGGCAGACGGCGAGCGAGGAGCCCGTCTGGAGGTGGGCAGAGAGAAGAAACCCCCAAAACAAGCAAGCCACTTGGCTATTTTTAACCCGCCTCTCGGGTTGTCATAACAACGGGCAACTCTTCCCCCGGGGGCTGGGCTGGCCACGGGGGCAGCTCGGCACAGCCCAACACACTGGGGCTACTGGAAAAAACCCCGGGACCCCCTCCCCTGGCACCGCATCCCCCGCCGAGCATCCCCCAGCTGCATCCTGCATCCTGCCGTGGATGCTCAGCCCCCCAAAAATCTCCCCCCCCAGTGCGTGCCCACACGCCTGGAGTTGCAAACCCCCTCCCAGCATCCCAAATATCCCAGGGAAAGCCCCGAAAAGGAGGAGACCCTGCTCCCGGAGTGGTCAGCGGTGATTAATTGCGCTCGGTAATTGGGGGGGAGTGAGATCAAGAGGTGCAGGACCCCTCAGGGCTGGCGGAGGGAGCTTCATCCCTCTTTCCCCACCCCGTATCCCGCAGGAAAGGTGGGGGTGGGATGCGCTGAGACCACCCCAACCGGGATGGGCTCATTGACCCAGCCTGAGGATGCTTCGCAGAGATTTGGTTGGCACAGATTTGGCCCCAAAAGCTGCCAAACCCTGACCCCCCACAACCCCCCACCACAATTCATCCTTCAGGCTCGGAGCAGAAGCCAAGGGGGCATCTCCCCCCAATCCCACCCCCCCCTCTTGCTCCCACCCCGCTCAAGAAGCAACATCCTCCAGTTCATCCTATTAATAGCCGTGCCCTCCGGGAGCACCCCCCCCCGCCGGCTATAATAATAATAATAAAAAAACATATGATGTTTATTCCTGGACATAATGTTCCTGCCTCTTTTTGCAGCAGGCAGAGGCTGAGGCAGGCGGCGTTGCCAAGGTTTTACCGGCCCCGGACTCTCCGTGCCACGGCAATGATTAACGCGCTGCTGGCGGCGCATGCCCGCTGCCAACCGGGGCTCTGGGTGGCCCCACGTCCCCCCTCGCCCCCCACATCCCCACGGGGGTGACAAATGGGGGGCTTGTGGCAGAGCCAGAGGTTTCCTCGGCTTCGGAGCAGCCACGTGCAGCGTTTGCATCCCGGAGAAGGAGCAAAACCTGGGAATGCTGCCACCACACTGGGATTTCTCTCACCTCTGGCCAGGAGGGCACCGATGCCACCGCCCTGGCACGCTCCAGAAACCGTGCCCAAAAAACCCCGTGTGCCACCAGGACACATCCCACGCCAAGGCTTCAAACCACATATCCCAGAAACAACGAAAAAAACACCAGTATCTTTGGGCTTTTTGGAGAACGGGCTCCATTTTCCAAACTCCCGGCGCGACCATGGGCTCGACACTCCCCAAACCTCCCCAAAAAGTGAATAAACACCCCCCCTCTCCCTTCCTATTTACACCGGGAGCTGCTGGAGGTCTCCCGGGACCTGAGCCAGAGCATCCCAAATTCCCACAGCATCCTCCCAGGGAGCCCACACCCTTATGGAGCGGAGCAGATGCTTCCAGTGGGATTTTCCCTGAGAAAAATTTCCCCCGTTGCCGTCAGTAGCCACCAACACACAAGTTTTCTGCTCTGGCTTATTCTTTCCCCCCCCGACCCCGGCCACAGAAAGGCTCCCCACATCCATGGTGGGGACATCGGTGGGAAGGGACTGGGCCATGCCATGAAACTCATTGATTTAGGGCATAAAAACAACCTTTGGCTCCTCCAGAAAGGTATTTCCCAGGAAATATTAAGAATTTGGTGGCCCAGGGAGCGCTCTCCCCCCTCCTCACCCCCATGTCCCCTCCTTTGCCGTGTGCCTCGATGGTGGCCCATCCTTAGGGCCACATTCGGGCTTGGAGGACGCTGTTTCTCCAGCTTTGCTGGGGTGGAAATATGGTGGCCCGTCCTTAGGGCCACATTTGGGATTGGAGGACGCTGTTTCTCCAGCTTTGCTGGGGTGGAAGATCACCCCAAAGGATCCCCGGGCTGTGGGGCAGGCCTGAGGCCCGGTGATGGGCATCGCCCCAGCTGGGGCTGAGTGGGAAAGCTCCGGTGGCTGTTTGCAAGCCCAGAAGCTGGGTTCCTGCCACGTTTCTGCTAAAAATGGCCATTTTTAGCCATTTTTTTGGCAATTCAAAGGGAAGTCGGCACAAGCAAGGACGATGGATGGACGTCAGGGGTTGGGGGGAAGCCTGCAGTCCACTGTGTGCCTCAGTTTCCCCAGCAGCCCCTGTGTCCATGTGCCCAGGGTGGCTCCTGGGGACAGATCCCTGCTTGGGGGGCCGGGTCTGTGGCCACAGGTGGGTGCTCCTGTGTTCCTCAACACCCCATTTCCCATATGGGTAGACCTCTGGGTAAATTTTGGGGGACCCCCACCCTCCCTGCTCCCAGCAAACATCATGATCATCTCCCAGGGTCTGGATGAACCCCAGCTTTGGGGTCAGGGCACAGGGATGGAGCCCCCAGTAACTCATGGAAACGCCAAATGGGGATGATCTACCCATCAATCCCCACCACCAACCCCGAGTGGGGGACCCCCCCGTGTCCCCCCTTCTTCTGCCAGCCCCGTACCTGTCTCATCAACGTGCCCTCATCCAGGGTGTCCTGTCTCTGCTGGGCGACGGTGACACCGAGCACCAAGGTGTGGATGCCGCAGGAGACGGCGGTGATGAGCACGATGGGGGCCAAGCGCAGGGGCAAGGTGATGAAGAAGGAGAAGACGAAGAAAGCCTGCCAGCCCACCGTGTCCCCGGCCTCGGGCGAGCGGGAGAAGTTGAGCCCCAAGTAGCAGAAGACCTGGGCCAAGATGAGGACCCAAAGGATGTAGGGCAGGAACCTCCGGGTCACCCTCTCGGGGAGCAGCCGGTACTTGCAGAGGATGAAGAGCAGCACGTGGGCCACCAGCCCGGCCGTGGCCGCCAGCACCGGGGGCAGCTTGTCGGCGGCGTAGACCACGGCGCACATGAGGAGGACGTAGCAGTCGAAGAGGGCGGCGAAGACCACCAGCACCAAGAGGGTCTCGTGGCGTTGGCGGCGGAAGTAGGTCTGGTAGAGGTTCTCCAAGGACTCGGGAGCGAAGGTGAGGCGCATGAAACGGGGCAGGCAGAGGCAAGGCCCCGAGCTCCTCACCGTCACCTCGTGGGTCCGCCCCACGCCGTGCTCGGGGTCCGAGGGCAGGCTCACCGAGTAGTCGGCCGAGTATTCGGCCGAACACTCCGGCTCCGAAAATGCCCTGTTCCTGGGCATGGTGCTGCTTTTCCACCCCACGGAAACACCCGTTTTGTGTGTGTGTGTCCCCCACTTCACCCCCCCAGCACCCCAACACTCACCGGGGCTTCACCATCCCCATCTCACCGAGCCCCGAGGCCTTTCCCCTTCTCTCTTCTTCTTTCCCCCCCGAATCCCGCTGCCTCCCGAGGAGTGGCCGAAGGAGGGAACAAGGAGGAGGAAGGGGGGGAATAATTCTAAAATAAGGGGTGTCGGGGAGATGGGGAGGGGGGGTGCCCAGCCAAACCTGCCTCCCCCGGCTCCCCGCCGGCTCTCTCTCTCCCCAGCCCCTGCGCACTGCCAGGGTGCAACCGGAGCGACGCCGCGGAGCAGGAAAGATGTCGCGATGCCTCCCCGCTCCTCCTTCGAGGGCAGCAGCTTTCGGGGCTCGGCGGGGGGCCCCCCCCCCGGCTCCTCCTGCCTTCCTCTTCCCCCCCTCTTCTTGGGTGGGTTTGTTTTTTTCCGAGGTGCTTCGTTCCGTGAGGATGGATGGATGGATGGAAGGATGGATGATGGATGGATGAAGGAGCGAGGGGAGGGTTTGGGGAGCGCAAACCCGATGCTTCGTTTCGCTTCTCCCGGCCGCTTCCAGCATCCTCCGGCCGCCCCCGCCTCCTCCCTACGCCCCGCCGCCCCCTCCGGTTCCGCGGGGCCGGGGCGGCGGAGGCGGCGGGGACATGGTAAAAGCTCGGGGAAGGGAAGGTTGGAGGTTGTGGGGAGAGGGGAGGGGGATAAGGATGAAGGGGTGGGGGGGAGAGCGGGCAGGGCTTCCCCGGGGCCGGGGGCGGGCAGGCACCGCCGGTACCGGTGCCTCCCGGTGCGTCTCCGCCTCCCGTAACCCTCTCGGTGCCGGTTGTGGGGAGGGGGAACCGTTTCTCGGGGGGGGGTTGCCCCCACTCGTGTCCATCCCTCCCCCTCTGCTGCCCACTCCATCATCATCATCACTGCCCACTCCATCATCATCATCATCTCCCTCTGGCAGCTCTGCACCCCATAGGGACCCACGGGGCTTGGACCCACTGCCCCTAGCCCCCCCT